ATCAGAATGTATCTCTCCAAAATGCAAATAAAGCCAGTAGAGGGGTCAAATAAATTGTTAGGTTAATGCTGGTAATCTGACGCTAAGAACACATCAGGAACAGGAAGACTCAAGAGGCAGGCATGGTTGTCTTTCTTGCAAGAGAGAGTGCGCTAAAACATGTCTCGGTTCACAATCTCAGAGCAGCTCTCCAGCTGGCTCTGCCATGTAAACCGTTACAGGTTCCGGGGCAACTCTGAAGAGACCACGTTTGTCTCTTTGCATTTATTGGAAGGATGTCCCTGATACACGATCTTCTAATGGGTGAGGGGAATATTTTCACATTCCACAACAGTTTCAGTCAAGAAGAGTTACAATGAGAACACACAGTTCATTCCTGAAGTGATCAGACAGCTTCTGCTGGATGTCGGTGGTCCGCGAACACAGCTTGGGATGTTCCTCACACGGTGTCCTGGGGTTGATGTTATCTTCTCACAAGCAACAGTTAATTTGACCAGAAGCCCTTAACTTAACAACAAGATATTATCTTAAAAGCTAGAACAGGAGCAGCCTGAGCTCTCCCGGTCCGACAAGTCTCCCATTATCAACCTACCCCATTGTATATGAGGTATTTGCGAGGTGTCACTCTGAAAGAGGTTTTAAAGTTACACAGAGAGTAAATATGGGATAACAGAATTACATTTATTCCAACCTAAATATCTTGGTTTTATTTTGCAAGGCTCACTCAATCCTTCTTGTGACTGACATTAAAAGTCCACACGTTCTTGCACAGTGAAAGCGAGATGCATTGAATGATTTCAAATTGAAACATCTTTCATTACTGCAAGTGCAACTGTTCAATAAATGCCATGATTATCATTTCTAATCATCCATGTCGTTGCTTTGAATGAACACGTTTGATTTCCGCTTTCAGCAATCAGCACAACATCATGATGGATGTTTCTTGATAGTAATCGACGCCTCCAAACGTTCGCTACAGTTCCAGGCTCAGGTTTGCTGGGGGTCTTTCACTCGCACATGTGGCTGGGCAGGTGCTCGTGCTCGGGGTTCCATGGCGACCGGGCAAAACACTCTGCGGCCTTTCTGTCGCACTCGCAAATGAACATCTCGCATTCGTCGTTATCGCCTGGGGAAGAAAACAGACATTGGCCGTGTTACGGTTTTCATGATGCAAAACAAACAGCGATCAATATTCGGATGATGGGATGCTAAAAATCTGAATTCATAGGGGGAACTCCATCCATGTTGCTGTACTCACTGCCACAGGTGACCTTCTTCTGCTCCTTATCGCAGCTGTAGTCATAGAGCTCCACGTAAGGGTTGTCAAAGATGGGCCAACAATTAGGATGCTGCATAGCGTCATTATAACACTGGTCGTGCACTTTGCAGCACCTGCCAAGGTAAGAGAACATGTGAGGCAGGCGGTTGAAATGAGTTGTCCGAATTTGAAGTGGAAATAAGGTTGTACCTATCCAGCTCATCCACAGGTGTGCCCGAGCCACCCTTTCCACAATAGCAGCCGTAGTCAACGTAGTCCAAGACGGGCCAGCTATCAGGCATCACACACAGGATCATATTTCTGAACTGGTGAAGAGCCCTGTAATCCAGGGATTGAGCTGCAGGACATAACAAGACCCAACAAGCCTGGTCACGGTGTCCTCATTGACGTACAGAATTGAACGACAAACCGCACAGCGGGCTCGCAGCGACTTACCAACAGAGAGGCTTAAAGCCAAGAGAAGCAGAGCGTTGAGGGTGTTCATTCTGAGAGCCTCGAGCTCAGTGGGAGCGGTGCAATCACTCTCGCATCAGACGCTCTTTATATAGTCCGGGACCTTGATATCTGCAACGTCAGCTGTTCATATTGGGGAATTTTCAGGTACGATAGAGAGTATGAAGCAATTCTGTGTTGAAAAAGAAGCATGAACTTCAAGGCACCTGCTTGCAAAGTTATTAATTTTGGGCATATGTTTAATATGTTAAGAGGTTACATTTAGAAGATATCATTTGCATTCGCTTCATTATTCTGCCCTGATGACATGTCAATCAATCACTGGTTTATAGGAAACTTCACTCCCTACTACATATATACATTGACAGATTTTTCCACTGGGAAAATGTAATTTAGTCTTTTGGTTTGAAAAACAAACAAAAAAAAAACAAACAAACAAAGTTTCCATCAATGAGTTCATTTTATCTACTGCTCCTTCTGTCCATGGTCACAGCACTACCTGGAGTCGAGCCCAGTCGGCTGGTTGCCACTGAGTCGCAGGGCTAGTGTGAATCAGCGCCAATGCTGTTGATAAAAGAATGGATACTAATGCTACATTTCATTGTCCACAACACAGTGCTGTGCGAATACTGTACATAAAAAAATAAACGCATGCAGACCATAGTCAGAATTCTTTTTCAGCACTGGCATTGAATTTGTGGAAGCATGGAAATTTGAAAATGTACTGTTGACTGTATTACCTGAGTGAGGAGATATATGTTGTAGCTACAAGACAAAAAGAGCAACGGTGTGTATCAAAACCACTGACGAATATTCCATCTGCACAGTGCAGACTCGATGTCTTCTTCCATCATTACTCCCCGAAGGAGTGAAAAATCCCAAACTGAGGCTGCAATTACCACGGTGAGATTACTAGAAAATATTTTTTTTCTCCATTTTATTTTAAATTAATAAAAGGCACGGTAAACTTCTTCAGATCTCCATTCCTTCTCGCTCACTCAGGTCTTCATCTTCCCTCCACCTCTCTATACCCTCTGCCCGTCTCAGTCCAATGGGGTGCAGAGCCTTCAGCCGCTCTGCCCCCAAACTCTGGAACTCACTTCCACTCAATATTCGTAACGTTGATTCTCTTCCCACATTCAAAACCCAGCTCAAAACCCACCTATTCAGACTTGCTTATTCCACTTAAATTTATCTCTTTTTATTTATAATTTTATCTGTGGTTTTATTGTTTGCTCTTGCCTGTAAAGTGTCCTTGAGTGTTGTGAAAGGCGCTTACAAATAAAATGTATTATTATTATAAACTGATTATGCCTCATGCCAAACTACATCCACCCGGGGGAGAAAGCACAGAATGTCGAATAAAGAAGTTAAATGAAATTAGCTGTTTTCTGGACGATACAGTATGCAAGAATTATTCATCACGCTCAAGACATAAAAATATATATTTAATTTCCCTATGGTATTTGAGGCAACATCATGGTAACAGATAACACTTGTGATTTAAAGATCCGTGAATAACTGTAGCTACTTTTTGCATTCCAATTTGTATGAACGCAGACAACTATACATTGTATGGAAGGCACTATCAAACCCTTGAAGGGGAAAAAAAATGAGGCAAAGTCCATTTTATATATTAAACTTTAATAAATGGAGTGACAATGGAATCGGGGTTCAAAAACTCTGCAGAACAAATGTGAATTACTTCTTATAATTAGAATGATTTCATACTGGCCTAGGGAGTAGAACACAAATCAACATGCAAATAAATAAAATACAAGTAAAAAGGTGGCGGTTATGATCACGATTCAAAAATCAGATGCTTTCTAACGGTGAACATATTTCCAGCCGGCAACTTTCATTAAATACGGGAACAACAAAAGAATCCATCGGTCC